ACCCAAATTCGCATTAAAGTGAAGCTGTCACCATTTAAGGCCCCCATTCAATTAACTCTGCCTCACTAATTCCATTAAAGTTTTATAGGTATTATAAATCTCCAGATCGGTATATCAAACTCGTATTAGAATCGGGCAAAGCCTAAAAGAACATTGATGGCCCATCTAATTAGTAGTTCGTAGTAGTTCAAGTTTACGACTTGTTTATTTAATAATTTATCGGAGTTTTCCGCAAAGCTCAGATCCGGTCACCCCCCACAACTCAAAAAGCTGGTTTTTTAAGGTAATTTTTCAACCTTTTGGCTTGTTAGCATTTCGTGCGCACAAACTCTATAAATAGCGCAAAGCTGATAGAAAAATAACAACTTTTAAGTTGGAAAACGGTTTTGGGTTTCTGGGTCCACTTTAATGCCGCCTCAAGGGCAAAAATTGATTGAGAACTGTGTCAATCACGGTGTCAGGAGGTCATTTAGGATTAATTCGATTAGATTTATGCTTAATAACTTCTAGGTTGATTTTATATTTTTCGGTTAGTCAGGTTTTTAATGGGTTTTTATACTTTGTTCCTATTATATGGTTTTTGTCCGGATAAACATTTAAATAAACAAGAATACTTATTATAAAACTATTATACAAATTACTTAAGTTATTTTATTATACATTTATTTTTATTATATAGTTGTCCATCCGGATATTATAGTCCAAGTCTCCTCCATCCTGTTTCCCATACTATTTATTTTTCCAATCAATCATTTATTGCCTCAATCTCTAAATCAACAAGTTCTTAAATTGCTTAATGATCAGCACACTGCCCAAGCTTTCAATTAAGTCGAAAGAGACGAATCAATCATTCAGCGGCCATAGCACATAAATCAAGAAATCCCGAGGAACAAAGAAAAGGAGAGAGGAAGATTTGGATGGAAAGAATCGGATCTGAAGACCCGAATAATACCACATAGGGCGTGTCTTCTCAGCCGTTACTCAGTTGACAATGGCGCCCCATGGAGTGAGAAAACCGAGACGCGGCGGCGAAGACACTTGCTCTACTTCCAAATGTTTACAGCGCAGACAGAGCGACTCCACCGCAAAGACACACAATCACAGCCACTCGATCGAAAGACGCCAGTGCTGTCAGAATCTGGGGAGCTAAATATATCTCTAAAATACCAGAGATCCACCCAAAATAAAATATCTATGTATAAACCCAGAGAAATCTATTTCATAGCAACAAAAATACCAAGAATACGATAATACCTACAGTACACTATAATAACATATTTGATTTAAAGTTAAAAAAAAAAAACAGTGTTGGGATCCGAACCTAATAATCTTAAAATATGTAAAATGTACCTAAAAAACTTCTGTAAACTTTAAAAATTATTTAAAAAAAAGAAATATACATTCATATATTTTTTTAATAGGTTTATTTGTTGAATTTGATGTGAAACTTTTGATATTCTGACTTAGTTCCCAAAATTATAAAAAAAAATTTTTTTTTTCGTTCGCCATATCAAAATAGTAGCTTCTGGTATTCTTTAAAATGCTATTTCAAACCAAAACATTATTATCAAAACTGATTTTGAATTCTATAAGATTTGCTTTCTTAAAATGTCTTTGGTTAATTACTTAAATTAGTAAGTACCGGGTTCAACTCCATATTATTTCCCCAAAAGTGATAACTTACCAAGAAGTAGTTAGATCTAGCTATGAAGTAGCCGAAACTAGCTATGAACCAGCTAAATGATGACCAACTCCGTGCAGAGATTGAGAGCGAGATGGCAAGAGAGCGGCAGCGCGTGCGCGTTTGTACAGTTAGACACACATGCGCCAATATTACGTATACGCATACAGTAAACAATATTACGTATACGTACTGGGGCATCTGTGTGTATTTGTGTGGCGACGCGTGCGGCGCATGCGCAGCTTTTTTTGTCGATAGCCATTTTTTATATTTTTGTTTTTTGTTGTCTTGTTTTTGTTGACCGATGTGCCATTGCCTAACTAACCGATTTTTATCTTTATCTCCAACGCCGCGACTTTTTGCCCCTCTGGCTTTTACGCATGTCGCATTTTAATGGCGCACAGTAACAGCGCTTCTTGATTGTTTCCCCCAATCTTCTGCTTCCACTTCGGCTTACTTGGCTTATTCCCCACTTTTTTGCCATAAATTATTATGGCTTTTGTTGCTGTTATTGGTTTTTTTTTGCGTCCCATCATAATTTGCACCTGCATGAGAATCGCACTCGCAAATTAGGTGCGTTCTTTGGTCGGTCAAAGGGGAATGGGGGAGGGGGGATTTTGGGACAGAAGATTTGGATCCACAGTATCAGTAAAATGTTTATGTCTTTGCAATATTTTCCTAAATATGGGAGATTAAAATTGGTCTTTAAAGGTATTCAACTGAAAATATAATATCTATTATTGGGCGTAAAATATTAAATGTGTTTTAAAGGCAAGTGGCTTAAATACTATGTATTTATTTAGTGTTTATCAAATATTTTAGATGTTAACTGAAAGTTTTAATAATAAAATTGTGGTGTAAAGTAGGATTGTTGCTTGCAAAACAGTCTGGATGATAAGTACTTCACCTCATTTTAGGTAATGTAAGTGAACTGATTACCTAAAAAATAAAAATAAAATAAGATTTTAAATAATGGATTGACACACAATACAATAACATTTTGTTTTTCACTTGAGTGTGTAGTTTGCACCGGGCATTTCATCGACGTTTGTATGCTGATCGCTGTTTTACACTGTACGTGTTGCGGCAGAGAACGAGCAGAACCATTTCCTATGCCTGCTTCATGACAGGCTGTTAACTGCTTTTTTTGTTTTAAGCTATAAACTTGTATTTGTTTTTAAGTTTTGAAACCGCATTTCTGTTTATCATGCGGACAAGAAATATGGTCATACTAAAACGAAAAAAAAGCGTTTATTAAAATACTAAAATTAAACTTTAATAAAAATTACTACAAATATTAAGTTATCTTAAAAAATTTGTAAAAATCAATGCAAATATCTTTTTCAAAAATAGTAAAATAGGATTTAAGCCTTTTTAATGTCATATGCTGAATGTAAGGAGAGGTCCACATACTTCCCACCGCCACTGTGGGTGTCAGGCCATATGCCCATCGAGAAGAAAACACGTTTGACCATTAACGATGACTGACTTTCATTAGATAGATGGCCAAAATCCAGTTCCCCTTCTCCATTTCTGAGTGGGTGCTTTGGGTAGCATCACCTTAGTCGCATCATCGGTAACCAAGTCAAATTCAATTCAATCCCATCCAAAACGCAGGTCTGGGTTCCAATTCGACGAAATCGTGATCGAGAGGCAGAGACATTTCCGCTTACTTAGGCGCAACAATTTAAAAATTGACAGCTCCGCGGCTGCCAATTAATCTTTCATTGGTTTCCAAATGCGAATGTGAATCGGTATGGCCGAGAGCCATAAACCAAATCCAGATAAATTGCTATAAATGTCTTTCCGAGTAAAGTTCATAAATTAAATCAACTCCGAATTGATAAAAAATAAAGAGAAGAAGAACGAAACCTAAGTCTGGTTTTTCATCTTTAAAAACTGCGTGACGTGGGTGAACTCAAAACTTGCTAGTTGGGAAATCGTACCCTACCCGGAATATTTAAAAACCCATTAAAATGTAAAAATGTGATATTTCCTAGTAGCTTTACAACTTTGTTTATTGGCATTAAATTAGTATTGCTTTACATTAGTTCAAAATAAATAAATAAATGATAAACAGAAACAGAAACAGAAATGATCAACTAAAGATATACCAAACATACTAAAAAAAATACCCACTATGACAATTTAACGATTTTATATTTTTTACAGTATATTTAAAAGTAAAATATGTTTTATTACTTCATACATTTTTTTAAAATTTTTTATATCTGAGTTAGCTAAGTTGAATGTTAGAGACCCCATTTTTAGTTTACATGATACTGGAATATCATTTAATTTCGATACTAACGAAAAAAAAATTCTAAACATGTTAAGTCCATAGTAAATCTATTTAACAGATTTGCAGTAGCCTAAAGATCAAATTTTTCTTATTTCCTTAGCTTATCGCATAATTACTGGTATTACTTGTAAAATCATATTTATAGTAACAAAGACTCTATATATTTTTTATCTATATTTTAAAATAAAACCCCAAATGTCCAAAATGGGTGGATAAAAATCCAGATAAAAAATAAAATTGTAAAAAGGAACTGCTATGCTAAACGTTTTAAACATTAAAAATTTTAAAAAGAAACTATTGCATTAAAATACATTTTTTTATTGAGATTTTCTTAGGGCTTTGGGATTAATCTTTAAAAGCAACGTCTTGGGAGCATTTCAGGGTCTTTATTTTGTAAACTAGTGTAATAGAAGAGTATCCACAACTTCAACAAGCTAAAAGCGCACAATTAATTAATTAATTTCATTGTGCAGTTACGTCATGGGAATAATTAACTAGCAACGAATTCGATTTCTACAGATTTGTTTTGCCTAATTGAGTCGATTGAAGCCAATGCGAGGTGAAAGGTTCTGTGGCGGTTCCTCGTTTAGTTGCTCATCGATTGGAATACCAAATTTGGACGATGCGGAAGCACTAAGCGATTTGTTTGCCTTAAACAATTGCAATCAATTATCCATCGATCGAATGAAATAAAAGCATTCATCAATCAATAACTATAGCTGTCTCTGTCGTTCTGCGGATCCCACGCAAAATAACAAATATTGAAAATATTTTAAGAAGCCTAGAAGTGGACTATATTTTTAAAACCCCGAAAGTTATGCTATAAATAAAATACATCTTTCTAAATTTTTGCTTTCGTTTTTTATTTAGGATTTTTTTTATACAATAACTTAACATTTTGTTGGTTTTTTTTTATAGGTTTTGCTTTCTTTTTGGAATCGGAAATTTACAATATTAAATATTGATTTATTGCTGTACTGGCTGCTGTTTCTCCCACTGATTTAGTTTAAGGATTGGTTTTTTTTTGCGGATTCTGGAGTTTCCTTTTTGTTGATTTGCTTATTTTCAGTTGAAACAATATTGCTATTTCATATATCTGTGTGTATATATATATATATATTTTTATTTTTTCATTACGTTTATCAAATGCAGCACATTGATGCTTAGGCTGTAGGTGTGTGGGTGTGTGTTTGTGTGTTGAGAGTGTGTGTGTGTGAGTGTGTGTTACTTGTGGGTGTGGCGGTCCATTTCGGTGTTCTCATTACTTTCTTTAGCTATTTGGTTGCTGCTTTTTTCTCTCTGTGTAAACTTTCTTGTACCTCGCTTTGCTCGATTTACCTGCTTAATTTCTTTTTGCATATTTGTTTGCTTTCATTTCTCTGCTTTTGATTTGTGTTCAACTGAGAAAAAATACTGAGTGAAAGGGGTTGGAGAAAGTGTGGTTGGGTTGGTTGGTTGCTTGGTTGGTTGGTTGGTGGTTATGTGTGAGGGGTTGTATTGTGCTTAACTAAGCTGAAAAACGGTGGTTCTTCCCTTTTTTTTTTAATTGTTTATATACTTTCTCTGGCCTCATTTCTAAGCTTTTGTCTTGGGATAACGGTTTCTTCAAAGCCCTTCTTTCTACATTTTCACCTCAAAGAACTAAGCCCTCTTTTTACCATTTTCACCCTCCTCTTTTTCCAGCACCGCCTGCCTTTGATCAGCCGCTACAGTGGGCCCCAAAAGTCAGCGCACCCGGTTTTTAATTATCTGTCTCTCATGTATATGATGATAAAAAATAACTATTATTCATTATTTAGCCTTAGAAAATTGGGACTTTTGTAATTAGTTTTTCATCTACTGTTTCCGGTTCATCTCATCGTTTTACTTTATTGCGTCATACATCTCATCATCATCTCATATATCGTATAGTATATATGCGTATGTGTCTGTGTTTTGTATATGTACGTGTGTGTGTGTGTGTATATTTGTTTTAAGGTTTAACATTTAATTTACTTTCATCTGCTTCTTCTTCGTCGTCATCATATAAATAAAAATAAATACATTATTCTTTATGTTAATTTTTTTGTTTTTGCATTCTTTTTTTCGATTTTCTATCCATTATGCATGCAAGCAAAACGTTTTTTTGTTTTTATAAATTTTTTTCTTTTTGCTTTTTTACTTTTTTGTTAACGTCCCCACATCCTTTTCATTCATTAAAAAAGCCGCACTAAATTTTACAATTACAAAAAAAATTAAATTCACATATATGCCATATAATTTTTATAGTACACATGTGTAGGTCGAGTCCACATTACAGGGAAAGGAAAAAAAAAAAGTATGTATATATGTATATAATAGGGGTGATTTGCAGTTAGCTTTGTCATCAGACTAACAAATATATATATATAGATATATATATATATATATGTATAAATATATATAAGTGTGAACTTTAGATTTACAACTTAAATTTTGAATATTCTCGACTGTGGTTTTGAACTCGGAGCAACAGCCTTTTCTGGGGTGGTGTTGCTTAAATTTTGGCTCTCACTGTGGCTGCTGCTGCCACTGCTTATTTTTTTCTCCTCTAGATTATCCTGATGATCGGCTGCTGTTGGTCAGAGAGCTTTTGTTAGTGGCCTTAAATGGGTTTTCCATTTTATCATTGTGTGTGGTGTGGTGTGTGGCGATCGGTTTCGTCTTGCAAAGCTAAGCAAAGCTATCTCTAAGCGGTCTGAAAACAACTATCAACAGCTCGGCGCCTTCATATTACCCCAGAAAAATAAAACATACATTGAAAAACACGGCTAGCCGGAAAATGCCCGCCCCCTTTTCTTCTCCATTTGTTTGCTTTTGTCCGGTTTTCTTTTTGTCCCCCGTCGTCGTCGTCATCGTCGTCGTCGTCGTTTTTCCGCGATTATTGCACCACGCAGCAGCCCTTCTTCTTGTTCTTCTTCTCATCGATGACCACATGACTAGCGGACGTCGGTCCCGGAACCACCTGTTTGGACACCTGACCCAGCGAGGTGACCCCGTTGTTGCCGTTTCCGGTTCCGGTTCCGCCGCTCAGCTCGGTCGCCGTCGCTGCTTTTCCGGCGCCAGCGTCGGCAGAGGCAGAGGCATGGGAATTTGTACCATTTTGTGCTGTTGCTAGATTCTGCGAGAGCTGCAAAAGACATTTAAGGGCTATATGTAGCTAAAGGTATATGGGTCATTTATTTCGATCCAACTCACGTTCGATCTGGTTACACTCTCGCCAATCGCCGCTCCGCCGTTGCAATTGTCGTCCGCATGCTGGGCGCTCCCGTTGCCAATCGTCCGCTCTTCTGTGGGTGTGATGGGCTTGCCACCTGAAAGATCACTCGGTTGATTATAATCGGATGAAATAAATAGGGGGTAACAACCCTTTCCACTTTATATCAAATCCTTCAAAAATTAATACTCAAACAATTCTCATTTCCTAATAGTTCCAAAATACACAATAAGATATTAGAAACTGTAAAGATATATATATAGATATATATCTTGGGCGATATAGCTCTATATTGCCACCAGAAAGATCAGACGGTTAATTATAATCGGATGAAATAACCAGGTTGGTAACAACCCTATCCAATTTATATCAAATCCTTAAAAAAAAAAATACCCCAACAATTGCCTCATTTCTTAATATTTCCAAAATACTAAATGAGATATAAGAAACTGTAAAAAATTGTAATATTAAATAACTAAGATATTATTTTAATATATATCTTATGCGATATATCTCTATAATAAAATAATATATAATAATAATAATAATACAAAGCTAAGGGTAGAATGAGCTTTTACTAAAAAAAACAATATATTATCTTTCTTTCTAGAGGGCCTGGGTTAAAAGAACTGTAATTTGATCACATCACATAAAAGTGTTATTGATATTTTTAAATTGTTTCAGAGAAATTAGTAAGTAATTATATATGCTAGTGGCTCTAAGAATGATTTACTGCTTCCTATAGTTAAGGGGTAATAATCGAGGAGCCCTTTTAAAAACCATGAATCCTGAGAGTATTAAATATCTGAAATCTGATAATTGTAGCTTCCTTTCCAAATAAATCGGCAACCATAACTTTGTATAATGAAATATAAAGATGTTCCTAATTACCCAAATTTATTAATAAGCCTATAAAAGAGAGGCAGTCACAAACGATTTGTTCTATGCCGACGCCCTGCCGACACACTCAGTATGAAACAGTGGTCAGAAACAACACTGGTTGCCATGTTTCTATGTATGTACATTAGGGTGGACCTTTCTAAGAGAAAAAAGCTCAGCATTTTGAGTGTTTTTGTTTTAACGATTACCTTCATTTAAAAAAAAATAATAATTTGACTAAACTAAGAGAGTCAAACCAGATTAACGTAGGCAGGTCCGTAGATTTTCTGTTTCCGATAAAAAAAAGACCGTGTTCAATCCCCGGTATCTCTTTTTTCTATTCTATGCTCTTGTAAAAAAAAGTGGAAAGGAGACTAAAAAGAGTTATGTTAAACTATTCTAATTTTAATAAAGGGCAACGATTACTTTACCTATCGCAAATAAAGGTAAGGGTCGATAAAAAATTAAAAAAAATTTTTTTTTAATTTAAATATGCATTAATGTTTCAAATAGGCAATACAAATAGGGTCCGTCCTAAAATACGTGTGCCATCATTTCATATTTCACATATCAAATCATAATGATCTTTAAGAACCCCAGTTCTAATTATTCAAAGTGAAAAGTATACTATATTTTTCCCCTAAGAGAGATGTATTGAACTCACCTCTGATCATGTTGACAATTTCATCAGCCTCTCTGGAGAGATCGCCGCCTGGACGAAAGGGATTGTCCCAGCCGGAATCGGTGCTGCAATGGGGGAACACCATGGGTAGGTCATTAGAATGTTGCCATATGGATGGATATATGCATTTAGTAGGGGCTACACACCTCTGCTGTCGATCGTAGGCCGCTCCCAGGCCGATCACCTGCTGCTGCTGTAGCCCCGCCGCCGTCGTGGCCATCGTGGAGTAGTCGAGGAGGTTGCTGTTGTAGTTATAGCCTCCGTCTAGGGCGTCCAGCAGGTAGTCCGCCGGTGGACAGATCTGCTGCGGCTGGCTGCTTTGGTAAATGGAAACGCGCACTATCGAACGCTCCGATCTGGAAATGAGTAGAGCAAACACACAAATCGAATTAGATATATATATATATTATACATCTATATATATGCAGTTTGCAGTGTATTTTATCGAGGGGGTGGTGGTGGTTCGAAGAGAGAATACGAGCACTAAAATCACGCATCGGCGCATGTGACCTTAAAATAGCTAAGCAAGTGCGTCATCTACGGAGGAGCCACCTCAATGTCAATTAAATTAAGTCATTTGCCAATTGGCTTTCAGCTAAATAACTGATTCAATTGATTGAAAGTGCCAGCGCTGTACAATTTTCTCGATCTTGGACAGACTGCTATTGGCCAAGTTCAACAATAATTAAATGGATTTGAAACGGAGAGACTACTTTACTCAAGAATCCTGCACTTTTCGTCATCCGAAATGGCACTCGTGAACATGCCCCATATCCACGTATTGTCGGGCACTTCGCCCTCTATAAAATAATCCATAGGTGTGTTGTAGTGTTCCATATTGTTAGCAACTAGAAACTAAACTAAAAACTAAAACGAATTCTGACTTGTGGCAACTAACACAAATTTCACAGGTCACTGGATCAAACATATTAAATCGATAAAGGGGAAGTGTTCCCGTTTTTGGATTTTTGGGGCATTGGGGGATTTATGGCGTTATTTTGGGATTAGTTTCCCTTTCGGAAAACATTTTTGAAACTTATTTGGAACATTTTTGTGTTCCCAAAATACAATGCGTTCTTTAAAGACTAGTTTCTAGTTATAAGACATTTTGGAAACTTATTTAATTTAGAAATAAACATATCTTTGTAGATTTTCTGCTAAAACTAGGCTTTTGAAACCTTTTTTTAATGTTTGGATCATAAAATATCATAATATCATATCATTATAATATATACCTATACCATTTTATTAGATTTTAACAATGATCTATTTTTTCCCATAAAAAAACCTGGAGTTTGATAAATCAGGTTAGAAATTAATTTAGTTTTATAGCGCAATTTGTTAGAAGGGTAACTTTTTTTTATCTTTATAACAGGTTTATGTCGATGACTTCATTTATGGCTGGTTGGTTGCGCGAAAAGCCTGAGATTTACTGAGCCGAAACGCACTGTATCACGGAATGGGAACTGGCAGTATGATATGGGAATGGGAGATGTAACTTGTAAGATCTCAATCGCTATCGCCGCCATCCAATGGCCCATGGGACATTCACTTCCTACATCTTTCCAGCTTCTTTTTTATTGTCCCAGAACTTTGAACCCCAGTGGGAAAACCATTAAAGAAACCTGTCGAAAAAGAGAACCAGAAGAAGTAGCAAAAAATAAACAGCCTACAATCGAATCAGACAACCCGTTCACTATATAAAGAACCCCTCCTCCTCCCCCACACAACTTTTTATCTGTTTACATTTCAAATACACTTCATAACTCAGTGGGCTTGTTGTTGTTATTATTGGGTTTTTTGTAGTTGTTGCTGTTGAACATGTGAAGATTACGTCATGTGCCGAAATTGATATGGAAAAAATGAAACAGTGCACGCCCTGAAGATGGAACTAACATTAGAAGTACCTTATTATTATAAAATATAAAACTATTATTATTATTCGAATTTATAAAAGTAATACTGATGATGGTATATGGACATTAGAAGTACCTTGTTATTATAAAATATAAAATTATTATTATTATTCGGACTTATAAAAGGGATACTGAGGATAGTATATGGTTTTTTCATTAAACAGTTTGATATTATTATTACAAATGACAAAAGTAGTAACTGAAGTTACTAAAACAACATTAGATGTTGCAAAATTTGATAGAAAACTATAGGATCATATTTTGTAGGGAAATAGTTCGTGGGTGGAAGAAAAGTACAGTGCCATAGGTCTGTAAAACTACCATTAATAAACATTATGCAAATTTAAAACTGGGTTATTAATTATAGTGGGTAGCATGTTGCTTTTTATGTCTATATCTATAAAATCCATACAGTCAACGCCCTTGCTTTGAAAAGTACCCCATATCGAGCGTGGCCTGTAGCAACTGGAACAAGAACAAGACCATCAACAAAACACGAGTGTTACAAGCTCGAGAAAACAAGTTATAGGCAAATAAAAAAAAAACGTTTCCAGCTCGTTTTGGCTCAGGAGCATTATTAAACGCTGTTTTTTTCCCGGTACAAAAAGGTTGTTAAGTAGAAGTTGAAAAACTTTAAAGATTTACCACTAACTCATAAACGCAACCTCAAGTGCCCAAGCATATTAAAGATCTGAAAAATATGGGAAAAACTTGTTGCCATTACCACGAAGTAGGAGGTGGAGTGAGTGGATAATGGAAGAGGCGAAAGGGGAGGAGGAACATGAGCTGTAAATGGGAAACAGAAGCAGAAGAAGCAGCATCAGCTGGGGAAAAGCGAACTCAAAGATGATCGCATTAATTATGTTTGCCACCAACGATCTTCATAGTGCTGTGGGGCTAGCTATTTTTTGGCTACTTAAAGGCATTTGTTTAGCAGGTGATTTTGATCAGGTGCTTGCTTGGTTAATAATATAATGCATTCGGCAAATTTATCTTCCTTAGTCTAATCCTTAAGCCTTTCTATGTGATAAGAAATGACTGACTTTACCGGTACTTCATACCATGGTTAAAAAAACAATTAAAAAAATATAACCATCATTTTCGATGCCTAAAATAATGTAGAATTTGTTTTTACTGATTAACACTTGCACTAATACTTACAAATCTTTTGAAAGAACAAAAATAATCTGTAACTTTGAGTCCACTACTAAAGTTTTTTAAATGTATATTTAAGTCTCAGCTATTTTTAGCTAATTTATTGGTTGAAAAATTGTCAAGTCATTGTTAACGTTGTTAATAATAACAAATTGAAGTATGTACATATTTAAGATTGTGTTATTTTGTCTTGATTAGGCTGCCACTATCTGGCTTCCAAGCTACAAGTAAATCTTTAAGATAATCATTATATTTTGAAGCAGATTTTCTTTCTGTGTAACTATCAAATCTTGCAGGGAATTTCTTATCAGTAGAAGACGTTTTTGAACATATGGAACTTTTCAAAATGAAGGAAGGTCAGCACATGAGAAAAACAAAAAAGCACTTGAACCATATGTTTATGTTGTCATGACTTTTGGCTATGTTTTAGCTTATTTAAAGGCTAATTTTAGCTTGTTTTTTCGTTTTTTGCAATGATTGGTTGGCAACACTGGGCGGCGACTTCGACGCCGGCAGCGCAGCAGCTTTTCAATTAGTTTTGGTTTTCTTGCTTTTGTATTTTGGGGCACACACGCGATGGACTACGTCACGGGCGAGTAAGAAGAAGAAATCGCAGAAGTATGGACGGGGGAGGGGGTAAAGTGCGAGAGGGAGAGTGAAAATTAATTTAACAAATTATGCGACCCCACCCGCAAACACAAAAACAAAAAATAAAACACACACACACAAACACACAGGGGAAACAAATAGCGGAAAATTCATTTTTGCACTTGAAAAGCGAAAACAGTGAGACAGAGAGGAGAGGGAGAGAGGCAGGAAGAGAGGGCAACTGCAGTGCGGCGTTGGTTTTGATTTGTTTTTATTATAATTTCAAAATATATACACTGGCGCAACCGATGTGTGCATATATTGTATAATGCATACGGTATATATAGTATAAATAACAGAGACTAAGGCTAATTTATGTACAAACAAGGTGCTATTTTAACACGCACACACACTGGCGCAAATTTATTTTAATTGCGTTTAGCGGTCTACACAGGCAGAAAATTGTTGATATGACTCAGTGATCAAGTTTAAATATTTTATAAATACCTGCATTTTAATTTGATATGTATAGATTTTATATGAAAAAGATTAGCTATTTTATATCCTGTCTATGAACGAATTTCCATTTAAAATTTTGTTTTGAAAAATGAAGTGGTACACGCTAAAAAAAATTCTAATAATATTTTATAAAAATTTAGTTTTTCATAGATTATAAAAACAGCCTAAGCCTTTACAATCTTTTGAATTTAACATATATTCCCTGATTTTTCTCCAGTGCAGAAGTGTGAGGGAGAGGGGGCGTTGTCGTTCTCTCACGCCCCCTCTCTCACCATCTCGCCCCGTCTCTCTCTCACTCTCTTTCCGTATGTGTGTGTATTATTTTTTGCGATGAACTCACTGCGCGAAACAACAACAACAATTACAAGTGTACTACTAATGTTTAACTACTTAAGTGTGTGTGAACCAAATAGCAGGAATTACTTTCACATTGTTTTTGCCATTTTCCTATTTAATTCAAGTGCTTTTTTGTTTTTCAACCACTTGCACTTGCTTTTTTGACTCTCTTTGCTCGCCCTCTCTCTTTCGCTCACGCAAGTTAACTGTAGTTTTTCCCTCTCTTTTTTTTGTAGGCCTTTTTGCACTTTTCTTGGTTATTAAAACTTAATACTTTTCTTGATTTTGGTGTTTGAAACGCACTTTTGGAAATTCTACGCGCTTTTTTTGCACTTGCTCTCTTTAGATCCTTTTGGCGAAAAAAAAAACACACGAAGAGCGGGAAGAAGCAGCAGCAACGATTGATGAGCGCGTAATTTTCTTTCGTTTCGGTTTTGTGCTTTTTTTTGTGTGAGATGGGCGCTCTTTTTTGATGTTTGGAGGCTCTTCGAACTTTTGCGTTGTTGCTGCCTAAACTGAAAAACTGAACTGAAACTGACTGTTTGAGTTTCACGCTGCTGAAAAGTAAAAGATACAAAACACACACACACAGACACGCAGGCGTTCACACGCACGAATGTTTGCAGGAGCGAGAAAGAGAGGGACTGCGAGCGCGCTCTCTCCTCTCGCAAACTTTTGCCAGAGTTGCCACCTAACTGAGCGAGCTGGTGGCGCGCTTTTTGAATGTTAAGTTGTTAACTTATGACCGCTTTTTTTAACTAATTTGTATATTAATTGTACGTTAAATTAATTTTTTATTAGAAAGAAATTATCCAATTAAGCATTCACAAATCAAATTTTAT